GGGGGGGGGGGGGCGTGTGTGGAAGAGAAAGAGAGGGAGAAAGCGAGAGGCGGTGGTACTTCAGAGGCGGTACGGGGGAGCCATACAAGCAACAGGAAGAGGGCTCTGAGGGGAGAGAGAGGAGCTGCTGTTCGGCTATTAGATTGCGGGGGGGCGTGGGAAGGACGGGAGAAAGTGCCTGATGTTGCTCACTTTGCAGGACGAATACAGAAAGTGATCCACTCGTGGTCAGGAAATGTGGCTGGTTTCCCAACAGATCTAAAGGGAGAGGGAGATTGATTGGAAGGAAAAAGGCGGGGAGGGTGAGTATGAGCAGGGATCGCTAACGGAAGAGGCCAAAGGCACCAACAGACACCTTCACACCTGAGGGCGCAAGCACGTCCACTCCAGCCTGGAGGGGCGAGTATATAGTTTCCCTGCTGTCGCCCCCCTTTCCCCCGTGCTCTTCTTCTCTGAAATCGACCACAGTCGAGCGAGGCTGATCAGGGGGCGTGTCCTGAGGGCGCAGTGAGAGCACCGGGAGGGGGGTGGGGGAGCTCAGAGAAGGCTGGGCAGCTCCTGAGGTGAGCTGGCGGCGCAGGGGCCTCTGGAAGTTGGTGCTCCCCAGGGGCACCGATGACGCGGGCACAAAGGATGATGATTCCAGAGATCAGGTGCAGGGATAAACGAGGCCTCTAGTGCGGGAATTGCTGGTGGGTTCCCGCCTTTGCGAGGCGAGGGAGAGAGAAGACAGGCGTTTGGCTCGTTAGCGCGGGCGGCTTTGTCGCCTCAGGCCACGGGGCGGGAGGAGAGTCTTTGGCAGCAGGTGGTGTAAGGAGGGGGGAGAGGGGACAGGGAGGCATTTCGCGTGCGACGGGTGATACCTAGGAGAGATCTTCTCTTACACGCCTGTATTCTGCCTGTGAGCCACGAGGCAGGGGAGGAGGGGCGGTGGGCTGACAAGCCTTTTTACGCTCTGCGTCTGCTCAGCGGGTAAGTGGCAGAGGCTGGCCCTGGCGTTGGAATCAAGGGGGCTAGCGAGGTTTCAGAAGGCTAGAGTCACGGGTGGTATTTCTCAGCTTAGCTGGAAGTGCTTTTCATACACCAGATGCCCTTGTTCTCTCTGCCACAAAGCCCTGTGGAATCTCCATTTATTGGGAAGGGGACATTAGGATCAATGAAGTCCACTAAGATCAGCCAGATCGATTGTACAGCTGGCAAGAAAGGCCATGGAGGATTAGCACCTCACCAGGCGCATCACTCATGTCAGTTATGTGAAGCATAGGAGGACCTACAAGCTGCCACTTTTTATTTTGACTGACACTTAACCAAGCTCAGGAGATGAGTCAGGTGGAAGAGGAGAGCTGTTTCTTCCCCGTACTTGTGCTGGGACTTCATGGGGTGTAGAGAAGCAGGAGACCTCCCTTCCTCTTACGAAAATCATGTAGGGATTTCATGATAGTTGACTTAACATGGTGTGCTCCAGGCTGTGAGGTGGCACACAGCATGCCAGCATAATTTGCTGTCTACATAGCTGGTCTCTGCCTCTTCAACAAGGCCAGTCAGGGGTACTATCCTAACAGTTTACTGGAAAGCAAGTTGTTATGGAGCAATTGCTGGAAGGAGGAGGAGGAGGAGGAGAAGAAGAAGTAATCTGCCAACTGCTCCCCATAATATGATCTGAATAGGAGGCATATCCTTGTCTACTACTTTGTCTAGTGCTCTTGGTTGCAGGACCAAGATTACTGGAGGTAGCTTCCTAGGGCACTTAAGGGATTATGGACTACCTCCTGTAGTGATTGCAGTGTCAAAATCACTAAAGTGCTCTGAGATCCTGATCTCTGGTGTTTTTTAGTGATGCAATTTTCTACTGTACCTTTTCTGGGATCCTGTTAATCCCACAGCATAAACCAAAATGGCCATGGAGGGAAGTTGGAGGTGACTGGAGTCTGGAGGAGGCATGCTTGCAGAAGTAAAAAAAGAAAAAAAAATTGCCAAAAGGAGCTTGATAGATCCCACCACCTATCACATCATCCCTATGTCTGCCGCTGAAGCACCATACATCATACAAATAGCAAGACATGTTCCAGATGAAGATGAGAAATGTTACCTCCATATTCGATCAGAAAAAAACAAAGTTAAATGGTCTTGACTATGGGCTGTAGATGAGAGGAAATCTGCATCATGCGAACATGTCCTTAAAGCATAGTTAGAAATAATCTTCAAGCTAAAATTAGATGAATGTGTAGAAGATGCTATAATCACTAGTGGGGATATGGCATAAAAGAAGTTTTAGATCCAAAGTTTAGTTTCCCAAAAATGCTTTCAGAGTGGGGTAGTTAATCCTTGCATATTTTATCACAACTATGCAGAAGCTGTATGAAGTGATAAATGTGTTAAGCACAATGTTAACTATGGTCTTTTTTGAATGCCATGGAAACAGACTGGTAATTGTGCAACAGGATATACACTTAATCTCCTCTCCCTGAAGTTGCTTAAGATGGGTCAACAGCCCTTTACAAAAATTTGGAGGCTATAGTATCTTGCCATGGACAGATGTTTGTTCTAAGGTTCTGCTTTTCTCATACAAAAAAAAAAAATTTTTTTTCCCACTTAATCATGCTGTATTTACTTAACTAAAATTTGGAGGCTATAGTATCTTGCCATGGACAGATATTTGTTCTAAAGTTCTGCCTTTCTCATACCCCCCCCCAAAAAAAGATTTTTTCCCCACTTAATCATGCTATATTTACTTAACTGTAATATGCCTGTAATAAACTCTGCTTAATTTATGCCAGACTTTCTTCCTAGCAGTCTGGACAAGTCTCTCAGAGCTCCGATTAGCAATATTTATCAGAAGGAAGATTAGAAGGATTCCAGTTAGTCTTTTTGAATGATGTATAAACAATTTGTGGTGGACAAAACTGTTGTTTGTTTTCTTGTGTTTTTATGCAGTGGAGAGTTGTTGGACGCCTGCCATCCTTGTGAGGGTGGAACTGTCTGCCTGTTCACTGTTTTGATATTTGCTACTGGACTTCTTACCAATATGAGAACTCTCACAAACGATCTTAGTAACAAGATGTTCTTTAAGGTCACTTCTGAAAAGCAAAAATTCTAAAAATGTTTTTCATCTCCAACTTCTTGACATAATCACCACCATAAAGGTCTAACAGCTTAAAATCCTTTTTGGATGACAAGCATCTTCTGAGTTACGTAGCAACCTCTAGTGTGTTTGCTAGGGTTTTTTTTTTTTTTAGAAAGGGGGGGGCAGTTAGGGAAGCTATGGCTCTCCAAAGGTTACTGAGGTATACTTTCCAACATTCCTCACCTTTATCATTTGGGGATTATGGTCACCATCTCTGCATATAGTGATGTGTAAAAAGGACATTCTTTTAGTGTTAGAACTCATTTTACTTGAGAAGCCATATTAGCATAGTGACCAATTAATCTCTTTCAAGACTTCCTCTTTGCTCCATTCTTTTTCTCTGCATATATATACGCGCACACAAATATACACACATACCCAGAAATACATTAACCCACACATTTGATGTACTCTATAATTTAGTATTTCATTTCGAGTTATTTTTCCATCTAGTAATATGATCCTGTCACAACATGGTAGATCCCAACAATAAACACTGAGGATACTGTCCAAGGCTGCTGATTTTAGCTTTCATAAAAAGCAAAAAAAAAAAAAAAGTTTCTTAATGATTTTTTGGTTGCTTTGTTAAGTGTAAGGGAAGTGGAAAAACTCTTTTGGGATGGTAGGCTTCAGATATCAAATAACATGAGTGATTATGAATATCAGCTATGTGCTGTAGTGCCACTTATTACTGTCCAACTTCTGCAAAATGTCTTGTACAAGTGATGTAAGATTAATAAACCACTATTCTTAGTTTTAAGTACTATAACTATTATAATCATTCTTCTCATTCTGAAGTCATAAAATAGGCACTGTTGCCCTATTTAGTTTATAAATCATGTTTTTCTTAGTCAAGAAACATAAACATTAACTTTATAAAGGGATGATAAAATTTTTAAGAGAGAACCTGCTGGATTTCCTTAATTCAATAAAACAAGTAGAAAAAAGAGATGTCAGAAATATAATTACCTCTTACTTCAATAATACCATGATATTTTTACAGCCAATGATTCTTGTATTAAAGAATTAGCATCTCCTTTATTGAATCTGCTCAATTTATTTTCTTAGTTAACAACATCATGCTAAGCCACAGTTTGTTTTCATCATGATTTCTGGAATACTGTAAGCTGTAATGACTGTATTCACACAGGGCTCTATAGCTTAGTGCAATGTAATAACATAACTTCCTGTATATAGAGGAATAATACAAACAATAAGATACTGTTATCAAACTGGGAATGTTGATTTTTTTCTTCTTCTAAATATTTCTTAACAGGTACATTAGCATATTTTCTCTGCATGTGTCTCTGTGTTGCTTGCTTTGCTAAATTTAAACAGTTCTTTTCATTTCATGTGTTTTTCCAATTATCTTTATTTAGAAAGTATTTGGGTAACTCCAATTCTTTGCTTTTCTGCAAATGCTCATCTTACACTACCAAGCCCAAATTTTGTTTTAATCTAGTTTTACAAGAGATTCTTTTTAAAAATGTTTCAGTAAATCTTCACATTTTCATCTACTTGCATTCATTTCTAAATGATGCTTATTTTCTTATGGGGATTTTCATTCTGTCAAATCAGTCAATTTCTATGTGACCGGAAAA